AGGCTAAGGGTTGCCCGACTAAGTATTGATAGTTGAAAAAAAAAAAAAAAGGTATTGATAGTTGTGTAAATACTGTCATACTAACAGCTGTCTAATTTTTTGGTTGATTGTAATCCATTACATACCTTTCTATCAAAATTATCTAACATTATCAAGCTGAATTTGTTCTGACTCAGTTTAACTCTAAATTCTTGTTATATTTTATTACCATTTTCTAAACTATAACGAATAAACTGTGATAATGTGAGAAATGTTGAAGGTGTCTGAATAAATTTAGGTTTGGCTGTATCTATTTGATAAATGAAGTCAACCAACTAACAATATACATACACTTTTGGTTTCTGTACCCAATCTTTTAAAAATTTACAAATGCAATAAAATATTGGTATCGGTACTCTGTATCGGCAAGTACCAAAAATAAAAGTATCTGTATCGGGCGAGTACTGGAAAAAGTGGTATCGGTGCATCCCTACTGATAATGTGCTGCTCAAGAAACATTTCTGATTATTGTCAGTGTTGAAAACAGTTGTGCTGCTCAACATTTTTGTGGAAACCATAATACATATTTTATTTAGCAATATAAATGTATTTTAATTTGTTTTTATTTAATTTAAATACAAAATAGTTATTTAAATGTATTATTTATTATACAAATATTTTTATTTATTTTTGTTTTATTTTATAATTGCCCAGATATTTCTTGTATCGGCAAGTACCAAAAATAAAAGTATCTGTATCGGGCGAGTACTGGAAAAAGTGGTATCGGTGCATCCCTACTGATAATGTGCTGCTCAAGAAACATTTCTGATTATTGTCAGTGTTGAAAACAGTTGTGCTGCTCAACATTTTTGTGGAAACCATAATACATATTTTATTTAGCAATATAAATGTATTTTAATTTGTTTTTATTTAATTTAAATACAAAATAGTTATTTAAATGTATTATTTATTATAAAAATATTTTTATTTATTTTTGTTTTATTTTATAATTGCCCAGATATTTCTTTGTGAGATTCATCAGATTCCAGCCCAAAATCAAAATTTAATCATAAAATAAAAAAGTTAATAATAATAATAATATTTATTTTTATAATTGTAATAATATATATGGCGTCATAACAACAAAATCAGGCCAGGATTTTTTGATGAACAGAAAGTTCAAATAAACAGCTTTTCTTTAAATAGAAATCTTTGTATCATATGTATTTACTGTCACTTTTGATCAATTTAATGCATCCTTTCTGAATAAAACTACTAATTTCTTTTAGAAAAAAAACTCTTCCTGAAGCTAGTTTCCAACATCTTAACATCATCTTGCACATGAAATGTAGTTAAATAGCTCCAGAACTTCTACCTCGTCTTCCAGGGTAAACCGTCGGATAGTATTCATAGTAGAGATTTGGATGATCCAGATTCCCGAAGGGTTCAAACTCCAGCTCTGCGTTCTGGAAAAGGCTGAGCTTCACCAGAAGAGAGAGACGCACAAACCAGAGCTGTAGAGAGAAGAGAGCGGCCTGCTTCAACAAAACAGATCAACATTTACTTCTTTCTGTAACTGTAGTATTGCGATGCTTTCTGGTCTGGGAGTATTACACCGTAACTCTTCTCTGCAGCAGTACGTGTGGACGCACGTGAGGCCGGCACATCAAAGCGAGCGCGTGCTTTGATTCGCGACCAGCACGGATCAGCTCTAGGCATGACGAAGCTGATATCGTCCTCTTTTGGAAGGCCAAACAAAGTAGTTTCGCTTTCACAACGAATCACACAGCGCCTTCACGACGTGAGAATAAAAGTTCTCACATCGTGACGTAGATATGTGGGGGCGTGTTTAAACGAGGTGTTTCAGTGTAGGCGTGGCTGACTCTTAACTTTGGATTTGAGACTTTAGTCTTTGCAACTTTACAGATCTTCTTTATGCACCAAGAGCTTGTAACACTCCAAAGAGAAAGGAAAAATTGAAATCGCATCATATGACCCCTTTAAAGGGGTGGTTGATTGTGATTTCACTTTTTTTAACGTTAGTTAGTGTTTAATGTTGCTGTTTGAGCATAAACAATAGCTGCAAAGTTACAATGCAAATGGAGATATCGTCTTTTAAAATTTGGCAGTTTAATGCCTACAAAAATGGCTCGTAGGGACTACAACGAGCTACTTCCCGAAATTTACATAACATTTACATAAACAACAACAAACAAAAAACATACCATTAAGAGCTGTGCTTGCACAGGCTCTGCGCGATCCTCTTCACTAATATTCTCTGAGTCTCAATCGGGCTCAAACTGATAAGCGATATTAACGACGCCGTTGTTTACAATACAAGCGGAGCACATGCCGCTGAGGTGAGGGCCGGGACTTTAGACGTGCACTAGAGGCGGTTTAGCCAATCACAACACACTGAGCCAGCTGACCAATCAGAGCCCATCGCCTATTTCTGAGGGAGGGGCTTCATAAAAGCAGGAACTCATTGGAGCGTTCAAATGAGAAGGGACAGAGTGGTGTAGAATAAAGGTAAGTTATGTGAAAAATATTGCGTTTTTTTTTTAAACGAAGCATTAACACGTTAGACTGCACCCCATAAACACAAAGCCTAGAAAAAAAAGTCAACCACCCCTTTAAAGAAAAACTTACTAAGCCCAAACTTTTGAACAGTCCTGCATATATTTCTTTCGAGTCCATCATCTTGGATGAATCTTTTCACTGACCTTTTCACAATAATTCTGATGTTGCTGTGATGATTGCATGTATGTGCTATGGTGAAAGAAGTGCATTATATTATAAGTTAAATGCCCCATAAGGCCCTTATTTCTACTTCTGCGGCATAGTTTTATTTTATTTTTTTATTACGTTTGTGTGTGTATATATGTGTGTGTGTTTTATTAAATTTTTTTACATAGTTTTTGCACATGTCTTGGCATTCACTGTGGACAGCAAAGAAAGAATTTCATTGTACAGGGAAACCCGTTTTCCTCACTGTGCACATGACAATAAACGCTTTGAATCTTGAATCTTAACACACTTGTACGCTTCTCCGTAGGCTGTGCGGACTCTGGATCGAGACAATCTCTGTGAGACGTTCAGTCTGTGGCAGATGAAGCTGGTGCTGGAGTTGTGTGAGAGCCGAGTCCTGCAGCAGCGGCTCAGAGACACACGGCGTCAGGGCCGCGGCCTGCTGCTCAGTTCAGAGTTCCTGCCCGTCATGAAGAGCTCAGCCGACCGAGCCCTGGATCGCTGGCTCTGTGGTGAGATACATGACACAGCCATCAGCGTCTAGCATCATTAGCTCATGTGCTTAGTCAGATTTCTAGTTTAGAGCTTCTGTGTCAGCTCATCCAGTCAGCGTTTGGGTCTTGCATGTGTATAGTGTTTTGGTCAACACCTTCAGCAAGTGTGAAAGGCTGTAGTCATGTCTGCTCTCTGCAGGGCTGGTATCTTAAAGGCTAACGGGGGGAAATCTTCCTAATTGTAGAACCATTCAGTTTTTATTTACATTGTTAACTTCAGCTCTCATTACTGTAATGCAAAACAGATTCTAAATCATGTAATTAAGGTTGCAAAAAGGTGGAACATTTCCAGTAAATTTAGGAAATATTCCAGAAATTTTGGAAACTTTCCAGGATTTTTTTGGAATATTCCAGGGATTTTTGGAAAGTTTCTGGAAATTTACCGGAAATTTTCCACCCCTTTGCAACCCTACATGTAATATAATTATTATAATGATAATTGTAGTATTTATTGTACTGGCTTTATTCTAACTTTAATTGAACGATATTACTGCATTACAATAATGAAAACAAAACTTTTTGCATTACATTACATTAATGAGAAGTGAAGGGTGACATTTGCTTAATTGTCATAATGACAAAATGCACAAATCTTAATGGTAATAAAACCCATGCTTAATTTTCTTTGTACAAAATATAATTTTATAATAATAATAATAATAATAGATGTATTTATTCTTATAATTATAAAATAATTATTTATCAATATAAATGTATTCATTAATTTGTATTTAAATAAAAAGTAATCATGTATTATTATATATTCTATTCTATTCTATTCGGAAAAAAGCCCAGACATTTCTGTGAGATTCATGAAACCTGTATAAAGCATGTCTGGATCAGATTATAGCCCAAAATCAAAAGTTATTTATAAAATTAAAAAAAAGTTAATAATGATAATCATGATAATAATAATAATGATAAATGTATTTATTTTTATAATTCTAAAATAATTATTTCTTAATATAATTGTATTAATTTACAGTGGGTACGGAAAGTATTCAGACCCCCTTAAATTTTTCACTCTTTGTTATATTGCAGCCATTTGCTAAAATCACACAGCTAAAATAACGAAGGAGTGGCTTCACAACAACTCTGTGACTGTTCTTGAATGGCCCAGCCAGAGCCCTGACTTAAACCCAATTGAGCATCTCTGGAGAGACCTAAAAATGGCTGTCCACCAACGTTTACCATCCAACCTGACAGAACTGGAGAGGATCTGCAAGGAGGAATGGCAGAGGATCCCCAAATCCAGGTGTGAAAAACTTGTTGCATCTTTCCCAAAAAGACTCATGGCTGTATTAGATCAAAAGGGTGCTTCTACTAAATACTGAGCAAAGGGTCTGAATACTTAGGACCATGTGATATTTAAGTTTTTCTTTTTTAATAAATCTGCAAAAATGTCAACGATTCTGTGTTTTTCTGTCAATATGGGGTGTTGTGTGTACATTAATGAGGAAAAAAAAATAACTTAAATGATTTTAGCAAATGGCTGCAATATAACAAAGAGTGAAAAATTTAAGGGGGTCTGAATACTTTCCGTACCCACTGTATATGTATTATTTAAAGAAAATAATTATTTAGATATATTGTTTTTTTATAAAATAAATATTATAAAATTCATTTTTATTATTTTTTATATTTAATATAAATGACATTTTTTGTGAGATTCTATTAAAAGTGAAGACACACTAGACATTCACTTCTATTCATATGTGTACAGATGCATACATAATTTTTTCATCAAGTTTGAATCCTTAACTATTAAGCAAACAACACTGTAATTCTTAACTCACAGATAACAGTCACGTGCTGCAAGCGTACATGAGAAGACAGCCGATGAACAACGACACTGATGTCAACATGTTAGCCTGCTTCCTGGTCTACCATTCTATCCCCAGCCTCAAGAACACGGTGGCATCTGACCTGGAAGGTACGATTACACTCGGATAGAAGCTAATTGCTGTTTTTTTTGAGAGAACCAAGTAATTCTTGTTAAATGTAGAGATCTTATTTTAAAGTAAAATAAGTATGCTCATGCCATTCTAAACCGGCGTGACTGACTTAGTTCAAAACACAAAATGAAGCTCTAAAGGCACCACAAAACAATACTCCACTTCCAATTTCAGTCTGTTCCTCACACAAAGCTACCCTATGGCTTCAGAAGTCTTGAAATATACTGCAAGAGTCGTATGGACTACACTTAAGGCCCTGATATACTTCAAGTGAACTGGTGTGACACAAATAAATAAAAAAATCAGGCCAAAACAAAGCTCGTCTGGAGTTTGAAACAGCTTGCCAAAGCAAACTTTCCAGAAAATTTCACTACAGCTAGTAAACCCCTTTGAACTACCATTAGTCTGTGGCAATTACATGATAGGTGTGCCTTCTTTGGCATGGAAATCAGTTACAAGGATGAACACACTGGAGAGCTACTTTATAGTAGAAATTGAAGTTGTTCTAATTGAAGAGCAATATTGGCACTGTAAAATCTGCTTACTTTTAAGGGTTCATTTGTTGATTTTCAAACAGCTTTGTATTTTTACAGTGTCAGTAGTTCAAGTAAATGAACAATGTGTATTACTTTTACGTGTCACCTGCAACGAAATATCCCCACTTATTTATCAGTAAAACATGACAGAAGATGCCTTTTTCCAGGTTTTTTTGTCAAAACTAAAGACCATACTTCAGCAGTTTTGTATTCCCCCTCGCAGATAGTTTGACCGAGCCCAGTGCATTATGGGTGTTGAAGTTTTCCTACCTTTTTTGCCCATGGTCTTTTTCTGTTCGTGTAGCACAGATAAAAAAAAAATTGCACTTCTACTACATAGACAGCCAACTTTTATTAAAACGCAATCTTGCCAGAGGTGAATTACCCTTTTAAAACGATCTGTAGTGTAAAGTGCTATATAAATACGACTTGACATGACTGGAGTGCCAAATTGCAAAGCTGGTGCAGTCATATCCACAATAGGGCCTTTCGCACCGCGGGAACCTTTTCATAGTACCAGAACTAATTGTGGAACTACCCACTTTTTGGCGCTTTTGCACCGCCGGAACTGGGTGCGATTTTAGTACCGGACTGCCTTTTTCGAGAACCAAATTAGCTCCTACTCCGGAGCAGGGTCTAACCAGCACAACTGGTACTACCTGTGACGTAAGTAGACATTGATTGGCCAAACGCGTACGAAAACGCCCTCACCCGCCATGATTTAAAACGCCGTG